GCGCCACGTGGTTCGAGTTTGGTTTTCGGGCTTTTTTGCCCGCATTGGGCGACTGCGCTTTTGTAAGCTGACAACGCGAGTGGATGGGTGTGCGGCTGCGTATGTGTGTGTGCCTGTTTTTGTTTGTGTGCAGTGTGTCTCTTGGTCGGCGCAAAGCGGTTTCAAGTGCATGGCGAGCCTACGAAAATTAAATTAAAAAGCGCATCCAAAGCGACCGAATGAAAAGAGTTTTTTGATTCTCGAAAATAAAATCACAGAAAAAAGACGCTCTCAGAAACCAATTGCAATTTGTCGATAACGATCTTTATTTGGGCAGCACTCAAATTTTATAAAGCAATCACTGGCTAGAAACCTAACAGCAGCATTAAATCTAGTTAAATGTTTATTTATGGTTAAAATTCAATAAGCCTCATATAATATATAGAAATGCTTCGCACAAATATATTTTAGTTACATTTGAATATATATTTTAAGATATTCTTGTTCAAATTTGGTATTTAATTAAAAAACGAACCTGATTCTCACTTTATTGCTTTGATCACAACTTATAGTTAATTTTTTAAAGTTTTTTAGAATTACATGAAAACATATTCTCTATGTAGAATTAATAAAGTGCTGATGTAAATAATATAATTTATAAATTTATTTTCTATATTAACTAATGATGTATGAAATATACATCTAATAATTTTAGTTCCCATTACTATTATTATCAAGCTCAAAATGTTGTTAATTTTTGTTTTTCCAGCTCTGAACTGCACGTATTTCTAAGTCTTTAACTAAAACATGGTAATTTAAAAAAATATGGTAAGCTTAGTATGAGGAATATAAAGATTTTATTTATTTATTTTTATTTTTTATAAATTTAAAAGTTGTTTGGAAACAAATTTTGTTCTCCAACTACTATGATGTTGAGCTGATGTGTTTCTTAAATAATAAATTTAAGAAACACAACAGCTCAACATCTTAACTGTTATTTAAGATAAAAATAGTTAATTTTTTCTTTTGTTATTTAATAATATCAAAATTTCTCAGCAAATAAAATGAAAAAATTCTTTCGCTAAAAGAAATCTTTGTGATTTGGTAAATTTCGTGTGTTTTATTTGTTTTATGAATTTAATTGAAATGTCTAAAATGAGCTCTAAAGTCGCATATAGCTTGGTCGACTAACTCTGGCCGAGTTGTTGACTCACGGCACACGTTAAGTGTTTGGGCCATTAAACATTTATGGGACACAGTTAAAGCGACACACGCTAAAAGTGAAAATGAAACTGAAAAAAACATTGGCCAGCTGTTTGTTACGCGTCTGGTTATTAAATATAATTAACGCACGCCGATTTGTTGACCGGCGCCATAAAATGAAGTTGTAGTTGCATAAAAGTGAAATATTCAATGCGGGGCAGGGGGCGAGCCCATCTGCTGTTCCCAAATGTGCAGCGAAGCTTGTCTAAAAACAAAAGTCAACGCACAAATTAGTCGAGCTGGCAGGATCCCAAGAAGGAGCCTTGCTAGCTGCACTGCCGGCCTTAGGGGGCAATACTGGTAATATATATTTAAATGCAACTGATTAATCATGAATAAAGTTGTTGTGTGTTCACAGTTGTTGCCGCTCACGTGACTGAAAACAATTTGACTTCAAACACATTAACAGTTACGGTCGATGTTGAAAAAAGTAAAAAAAATAATAGAGAAAGGAAAAAATTGTAAACGAGCACGCAGAGGGAGGGAGAGAGAGGATAGGGCGATGGGTTTGTCACCAACATTCGAGGAACAGCTACTAACTTGGCTAACTAAAAGTTTTCATGCATTGCCGTTGACAGTGCAATAAACATGCCAAAACAACAACTGCAGCTACAACAACAACAACAACAACAACAACAACTTATGAAAACAATAGCGTCAACTGACCCGCCCATATGAACGCCCCTAAACACGCCCACGCCTCTGCTTTAACTTGTTCCAACGGGTGGCAGTAGAAGAAGCTCGAAAAGAGAGAAAAACAGTTCGAATTAGACACGTAGCCAGTAAAATATTTAGTTGGATCGAATGTTGTGTATGGATGCATTTGAGCTTGGCTCGGGCTGCACTACTGAAATAGTTGGCAGCTCTTTTCCTGGAATTTTCAAGAATTTTATTTTTTTTTTTTTTGTTACTTAGGGTTGTGGAGGCAGTATGTGACTGATTTATGAACTTTGCATGCAGTTTGCAGACATTCCACAGATAAACAAATGTTGATTTCTAAAAAATATAAATGTATATATATATAAATATAAAAATATCAAAATAAATATATAATATAATATATAGATATATAATTTTATTGTTAGATATATAAATATATTTTGTTTTGGAAATTTTCTATTTTTATTTATATTTTTATTTGTTGAAATTTTATTTTAAGGACTTTAATATAATATAATCTTAATATATTTTTTTAAATTTTCTAACAAAATATATATGTAATATATACATAAATAAAATGCATAATATGTAAATAGTATTGATAGATTTTTGCTATAAATAAAAGTCATAATAGACAAATTATTTTTATTTAATTTAATTATTTTATTATATCGTAGCATAAAATTGTATTTTTATTTTAATTTTTATTTTTAATTTTATTTTTTGTATTTGAACAATTTCAATACTAAACACTTATTTTAAGAATTATGTTATATTATATTAATAATTATGTTTTTTTTTATATTTAACTCTAGATCAATTTAGTTTATTTTATTTACTAAATAAAAGTAATTCTTGCAATTAGTTTTTATGTAAGAGTACAATTCACATATTTTGAAGTATTTTTTTTTCGGTTTCACAAAGCTACATTTTTTAAATGTATGCATTCTAGACATTGCTTAATATGCATATATGTGCATAGCAGAACTGCAATTTTATCAGTCAAATATATATTTTGTTCCGCCCAGCACTCAGTTGCTCTTGTACTCCAAAAAATGTTGGCTTGCGATGATAAATATTCATTACATGTGTGCAAATTCGTGTTCAAAGGCAAGCAATTTTAATTTTTATTCTTTTGCAAAACTGAAAAATAGGGTGACTAATGGCCCTCTGCTTAAGAGTTGGCTGGCGGTCCAAAGAGGGTTGAATGCACATACATGTGTAGTATGCGTATCTAGGGGGAGTTGTATGCATGACATTCATTGTGTTTAATGAACATCCATTACTCCGTGCGTTATGTAATGTCATAAATAATCGCAAAACGTGCAGCGCAGCGAAAACCATAAAAAATTTGCCAATATTGCTAAAAATAGTCCGCAACAGATGGCAACAATTGGACACGAGCAAGTGCTTTGCAGTCTATTCATAGATTCTGATTGTGTTACGCATCAAATATGGTGAATGTGTTAGCCTACAGCGTAGCATTCGGCAGAAAACAAAGTTTTCGTCAATCGTTTCCAACAATCCTCGATAGTATAGTGGTTAGTATCCCCGCCTGTCACGCGGGAGACCGGGGTTCAATTCCCCGTCGGGGAGAGATTGTAAAATTCTTTTTATTTTATTTTTTTAAATTATATTGTTTTTATAAAATGTTAAAATGTATGAATATAAATAAATATAATTTTTTTCTATATACTTTTAATTAAAACATCATTATTAATTCATATCTCAATTGCAAGCGGAAGGCACTACCTACAACAACTTACCATAGGGGTGTTTTGGATGTATAATGGTTGCAAGCCTCTTAAATGTTACTTTAAGCTTAACAATTTTTATAGTTATAAAAGTCTACTTAAATACAATTAATATTCATATATCATATATGGCTGCTACGTTTTTACATGTTACGCGCTAAATGTCTACAAAGTCTAACGGCATTTACGCTTGGGACTCGGGTTCGAACCCCGTTGCAACAATTATTTTGGTTTTACAAACTATATTCTTATTTATATGTTTTATAGTATTTTAAAAACAATAATTATCATCTTATTTTAAATAAAATTGATATATATATATATATATATATATATATATATAGTTCCATAACTAAAAAGCATGTGCTTTATGTGTCTTTGTTTCCATTCTAATTTATGTTGTTTTGTTTCCACATCAACAGCTCACTCTTCAGAGATGCGTATCTGAGCTGTGTGTAGAGCAACCCTTTTTTGTCTGTTGCTTGTTAGTAGTAGTTAGTTGGCACCCCATGTGCACCCTTACCCTTAGTGCAGGGATACCTGCCATGGCTTGAACCCATTAATACTCATTAGTATCTGCATTTTTTCTCTGGGTGCTGGCAGCGAGACACACTTCAGTGTGTTGTGTGTTCGCCTTTATCAGCCATTTAGCCACTTTGTGTATATAATCCCCGGGACGCGCAACAACCGCAAACAATATGCGTGTTTATTATTGTTTGTTGGTTTGGCTCTCTGACTGTTGTTTTGAGTGCGGTTCCTTTTGTCTATACTCTTAATATTATTAAAAAATACACCCAAGGGTACAACAATTCGGTTGATTCGGTTAGTTTTTTTTGCCTTGGTGGTGGTTGCTTGACGGACCGTTTTCCAATATTACGCAGACCAGACGCATAAATTCGGTGACTGGAGAAACCCCCCAGACAATTAGAACTAAAGCAGCTAACATTGGGTGGGTGGGTGTTTGGCCGGTTGGCTGGCTGCTTGTCATGTGCATACTTACATTGAAGTAAAAACTGCAAAAATCGTTTGCTATATATATGTCTACGATATACCTATATACAGTTTAACAATAAAACACACACAATGCGCCTGACATTCGCTTCGAGAGACGCAACTCAAAAGTGATAAATGATGTTGCTTGTTACTGCCATTGGCTTTTGAGTAGCAGGCATCACGTTTATTTGCGCTGTAAAATGTTTTAGCATTTTGCCAACTCGTCTATCAACTCGTTTTTGTTCTCCCTTGCAAATGAATTGCAAGCCATGTTAACTGTCATGTTAGCCAAACGACGCGCTGACAAGCGCAACGGCATTTGATTAGCGAACAGCGAGTGGCAAAGAAAATCTAATACAAATGCGCACTACGCAACAAATTGAAATAGCTGTACGCGCCACGCATAATCTGCAGATGGAATGAAAAAGTTCGTTAAGCAATCATTGAATTATTTAGCCAGACTTACATCGAGAAAGGTTTTCAGATTCAATTCGACCAGCAGCGCGCGCATCTTCAACGGCCTCTGAGCGTGCATCATCATTAGCAGCAGCATCCGCTGTACAGGCAGGCCAAACTTGTACCAGTCGCCGGCATAGAAGGCAAAGCACAATTCATTCTGCTGCACTTCCCAAAAGGTTAAATATCGCCAATGTCAGGTCAATTGGTTGGGCAAAAAATAAAAAAAAAACGATTTGGAATGAAAGAACATGGAAATTGTTAGCTATTCATTAAAGGTTGACAAGAACAAAGGAAAGGAAAAACATTTTGAAAATTGTCTAAGGGTTTCGGCATAATAACTCCTGGATAACTCAACTCTGCTATTGCTTCGTACTTTTAATTGTTATCTTAATTTCAATAGCATTTACAATCGAGTTACAAAATTATTTTCTTGTCAGACAGATTTGGTTTTGATTTATGCCCAAAAGTATTCTACAAAATAAAATAAGAAAATTATCTAAAAATAAATCTAAAAATGTTTCTCATATATAAAAAAACTCAAATTATTATTTTAAAATATAAAATAAAAGATTTAAAACAAAAATTAAAAACGTTTCAATAATAAAAACGGATACATAAAATAAGTAAGAAATTAAATATGTTTTTTTATAAGATTGGTAATAAATAAATAAATAAATTTTTTTAAAATCATATATATATACATATATTATTAATAGATATTTGACATGCCAAAATAATAATAAATTTTGTTTGTTTGTCAACCTACACCTTCAACTATTAAAGTCGCATGCCAATGATATATCCACAAGATTGCAGCCATGACAAACAAATAGAGGAACATAAACGAATAATCCATGTTGCTAGGCTCCTGCAGAGAGGAGAAACTCGAAAAATAAAGTAAGTAAAGCAGGAAGAGTTTCGCTCAAGACTTACGCCCACAGTAAGAGCAAAGAACAGAAAGCAGATGAGCACAGAAAATATGATGAAGTCGGCCATGACAGGTATGCGAATGAGATGCTCGATTTGCTGAACGAAATCACGTATCTTCAGCTGCTCCTGGACAAAGTATTTGCAGAGCTGCAGCTGCCAATGGATGCGTTCATTCGCACCCAAATGATGTTGCAAGAGATTCGGCTCGAAGCGTCTAATCTGCAAAGTAGATGAAGCAAATTAGGCCTTGTTGTTGAGATACTATATAATATATATATACTTACATCCATGGCCAATACTCGTTTGTTGAGTATCTGCAGCTTGAGCGTCACATACTTCATGAGGCAAGCGATGAACGTGTGCCACAATGGAATTGTGGTAATGCCCAGGGCAAGGGCATACCAAGCACCCAAATACCCCATGACGAAATGATCGTACAGCTCGCCAAAAGGGAAGAGTTTGAAAATCAAAATGGGCTGTGCCTCGCCCCGTCGCACTGCGGCCATGTTGAAAACGGTCTTTGGCAAAAAGATGGTGCGATAAATGCAATCCAAATAGGCCATCATACCAGCCACCACCGATGGCACCCAGAGCAAAAGCGTTATAGTCCTCACGTAGCGTTGAGTGGCATGCAACAAATCCAATTCCTGAGCATCCGATTCTAGTATCAAGTGCTGCAGATCCTCATGAGCAGTGCGCAGCATCGTGATGACACCTAGTTGGGGTAGAGGAATAAAAGGGTTTTAGAAGAGGTATTTCAGGAATATCTCGATAAAAGATGACACAGAAAGAGACTTAAGATAGAGGGAGATAACTCTAAGAGATCGTTGGAGACATTCTGAAAAGCGATATATTCAAGAAGGAGCATTCCGTGGAAGAGAGATGCCACAGTAAGACTTGTAGTTGCAATTCTTAAGAGAAATGAAATGATTGGAACTGAACTTAACTGAAATAATAAAGAGCCACACTTAACACAGAGGCCTAAAAGAGATCTATGACATAATAAAGAAGCCTTAGGAAAATCCCTAAGAGACAGATATATTCAAGAAGGAGGATGCCGTGGAAGAGAGATGCCTCAGTAAGACTTGTAGTTGCAATTCCTAAGAGAAATGAAATGAATGGAACTGAACTTAACTGAAATAATAAAGAGCCATACTTAACACAGAGGCCTAAAAGAGATCTATAACATAATAAAGAAGCCTTAGGAAAATCCCCAAGAGACAGATTATTGAGAGAGATCCCAAGGCACGACCTTACTTACGCTCTCGCTGCACATACGCATTTAGTGTCGCTATGGAGACAGCGAAATACTGCACCGCAGTTGCCCAGCTGGTGGCGCCATCGTTGATGCTCTCGTAGCCACGGGATAAGAAGAGGCGCAGCAGCATCAGCGCACAGCTCAGCCAAATGGAGGCCGTGAAGATCGTGCAGCGGAGCAGCGCGAGCCACGGATGACGCTGCTCAATGGACGCCACATAGCCATACCAGCGAAAGCAGCGCAAATGCAGGCGAAAAAGGGGATTATCGAAGCTGTCCGTCGACAGTTGCAGCTCCTTCACCTTGTACATTTTGACTGTGAAAACTTATGGCATAATTTGTGCGTTTTATAGCCTCGCACTTGGCTGTTTGCTAAGTGGACTGCAATTTGCATAACTAAGGTGCTGAAAATTGCATAGTAGATAATTGTCATTTAATAGCTGCTATTTAACTGTATTTCGGTTGACAGCTGCTACAGTTCTCCTCATGGCACATGTGGCAAAACATGCTATTATCGCATTTACATTTCGAACTTAACTTTAAGTTTAAATATCATTAAACTTTAATGTGCTTCTTAGAGAAAATACATAATATGTGAGCATTGATTATAAATTATTCACAGTTGAATAAAAGACAATAATAAGTGCTCTAGTTAGGAGTGCCCGACTAGCAGTTACCCTGAACTACACTTAAAGGTATTTTGCTATAGATATATGCATTTTATACTCATCCCTTAAACTGGCCTGCAACAGTTTTCTCATGTTTTCGGGTTCAATTTAAAATTGTTTTTATTAAATAATTCCAGATTGCTTCAAAATAAGAAGCTCGCAAGCTTCTGATTGATTTAGCTAAATGAAAATTAAGGCAAATGTTCTGTAGAACAGTCTAGCTATATCAATTTAGTAATGAGCTAGAGTGCTATTTTGGAAGCGTCCGACTAGTAGATGCCTTGCGAAGAGCTGCTAATTCAATCATTTTAAGCCTCTCTTTAACGCTTCAAAAAAGAAATCACATTATCGATTTTTACCGATAATAATAAAATGGGCTGAATAATCGTATGATATACAGAAATATATATATCAAATCGTAGATTTTGTGATTTACGTGATACCTGCCTTAATACGGATGGACAGACGGGCAGTCAGACATGGCTAGATCAACTGGGCTCTCTTACTGAACAAGAATATACATACTTTATGGGATCTGCCACGTCTTCATCTGGCAGTTACATACATATTAAAAATCCAACCATTCTCTGAATTCTCATTTTCAAAGCCTTTGCGAATTTGGACTGTTTATTTTTATAAGCTCGAAAATTTGTTAATTTAATAATAATTAATTATTTCATAATTTAATTCTACTTGTAATGAATTATTGTCTAACGTGTAAGCCAAACATTTATTAAATGAAATTTTTATAATGCAATCGAGACATATTTCTATTAAATTTGTATTAAACAATATTCTAAAAGAATAAAATCTTCTTTCAACCGTAACCTGCGATATATAAGCCTTTTTTTTTTTGCAAATTGTAGAGATTAAATTTCAGCCTCTCACAGCTACTTCCTTGCGCAATTACTAGCGACTTGAAAGTGCATTCCTTTCATTGAAATTATATATTTATTATACTTTTCAGGCAATACCCCAATTACTTTGCTTAGTTTTGACTAGCTTATAAACTTGCATGTCCCTTAGTCGAATGCTTCTTTGCTATAAAAAAGAAAAAAAAAAAAAAATAAACAAAATAGAAAACACTGTGAAAAACATGTCACACACAAAAAACAAGCCCGAGCCCCAAAGGCAATGCTCACGAGTGGAAAAAGAAGGGGGCAAAGTTCATGAAGTTGAAATTTCACTAACGAAATTTAACACGCATGCAGATGCTGTGCACTAAAACCATTTGACATTAGACTTTTGTTTAGATATACTTCAGTTAGTTCTTCGCTCGGCAGCAGCATGTGGACAAAGTTTGTGCCCAAAAAGGTGCCAGCGAGCGTAACATGCAAATCTAATTTCCCCCAAGTTAAGAACAACAATTTCCAGAGGACAGAATATTTTGAGAGGTTGCCCAAAGTATTGACAGTTGAAACTAGAATGTTATGAGATAGAGATATGCAGTAACAAATTGTAGTTAATTTAATGAGCTAATAAATCAGTTTTCAATTTATTTTATTCGTTTTTATTCAGCTACTAGAAAGTATTTTGGCTTTCAGCTAATCAGTGAAATTTAGCTTAGTATAAATTATATGTTTTCCAGTCCTGTGGTGACTGAAAGTTAGGTTGAGAGGCGACTGTGCCTCTTATTGCTGGCCTCGGGCTCAGACAATGAAATAAGCCATTTAACGAGCAAATGACGGAGTGAATATTTATTTAAGCGGTTTACTGGAAGAACGCTTTTTAACCCTGCTTTTAATTGTTCTTTTTTGAATAATCGAAACAGTTAATTTTATTGGTTTTTCTTATTATATTCACTATTTTTAGTTTTACTTATATGACACCAATTTTTAGCATGTCCTATCAGTACGAGTTAAAACACGAGACTGATCTATATTTTTACAAATCATAGCCTCACCGGCGTAAGTAGAGTTGCCCTTGCCAGGGCTGTTCCTTAACTTGTCTAGCACCCGATAATAAGTGTTGAATAATACCTTACATTAAGTGTTATAAGCTAACTAAGTGTTATAAGTTAACTACCCCCCCCTCAAGTGTAAGGTCGTCCTCGACCGACCCAATTCCAGCGACGACTCCTCGCAAGTGCTTCGCGGACTTCTTTGCGTCGATGATCCACCAAAGAGTGAAGCCAATGCAGATTAAAGCACAGCATATGGCTCCTCTTTCGGAGTGCCGTACAACGACACATCATCAAAGTGCACCATTTCGGTTCCTTGGTCGCATATTAGCAGCGGTGACCAGCGAGTCGGTGCAGGTGTTCTCGAATGAAATCCGCAAGTCGTTCTCATTCACATTCAATACGGAGCAGTATGAGCAGCGTACTGATTCTTCGCTATCGCCGTTCAGCAGGCGCTTACTAAGCTTGCTCTTGCGCCTACGTATGTGGCGTCTGTTGAAGCTGTTGGTGCACGACGTGGACGTGGGCCTTGGCATCGGATGATGCATACCAAAGTTGTGCAGCTGCAGCGACTTGAGTGTGGCTGGCGCCGTCGATGACTGGCCGTGCACGTGCCCGTGATGGCCGTGATGACTGTGTCCCACCACTCCAGCGATGCTATGAGCCGTTACTGGACGAGTGATGTGTGTAGTCTGTCGGCGCGCTCAGCTGGCGATTGAATTCGGCCTTGCGGCGCGTCAAGTCCGTCAGGCAGTATTTGTTCAGATGGCCGTTGCTGGAGACAGGGCTCTTGGGCGATGATGCCAGATGCTGCGTATAGGCCGAAGGAGTTGCTGCTCACGCTTAGCTTATTGCCGGCGTTGTGCAGCAGATTGTTACAGTTCTTGCCGCTGATCTTGGCCGACTTTTGCCCGTCGTCGGTATCGTGTTGCTGCTGCTGCTAGCCGCCCTGTACTCCTTGTCGTCGCTCTCGCTGCGCACCGATGCTCGATACGCAGGAAATGTCTTCGTCTTGCTCTTCAGAGAGCCGTTCAGCAGTAGCTGCTGTTGCCGTGCGGCAACTGCCGACAATGCCGGCAGCTGCAGTTGACGTGACGCCGCTGCCGATGAGGATGAGGATGAGCCGGCAGCCGTGGCAGGTGTCGACAGAGATGGGCAGCGGTTGGAGCAACCTGTGGCTGTGAAACTTCTTGAATTAATGCAGTTGGCGGTGTTTTGGGGATTTCTTGACTTGGTTCTAGTATGGATGAAGAGTCGCTTGGCTCTGCCGCCGCGAAGAGTTCGTTAGTTGTTGCTGGCTGATGAGCTTCTACTGTTGGTGGTGGTGCCGTGAACAAGGGGGTTTCCTCAACGATTCCGCTTGTAGATTTGCATGCTGTGGTTCTGGCTTAGCATCCAACTATGGGGCGAATAGAGCTGTTGCTGGTTCTTGTGGACGACAGGATAAATCGTAATTTTTCTGCAGGCTTTTTTAATTTTTGGGAATTTGGTTATAAAATGTATAGTGTTGATGGATTCCTCTAGCCAAATTGATTTTAAATCTGAGGAGTCCAAAATGTTTGGGCTAACAATGAGCCTTCGCGAGAGTAATAGCAAGCATTAAACTTTGCAACTCCATCGTCCGCATTCTGTTTCTGGACAGTGTTTCAGTGTTTCAAATAAATAAATCAATAAAATCAATTTGTGAGTTTTGGCTATCCCGAGAACTCCACTGACAGCAAATGTTAACTGGTTAAGTTGGTCTTGAACCTCAGTGTTTACTTCTATCCGTCTACTGTTGGCATTCATTAGTCGCATTTCAGTGGACCTAGTCTGCTCTAAATCACCAGCATCGGGTGTACCCGCCACCAAAATGTTTTATAAAAACTATGCCAAGTGGCTAAAGGTAAATAGAAAACTATATCTAACTTATTCGAAATTGCCTAGCGGCTTAAAAAAAAGGTGTAATAAAAAAAAACAAGGGAGTCATCTTAGGTTGTCCTTGTGGACCACCCTTCCTTTAATGAGGACCTCGGTCCCCAGGTCTGCTTCCACGGCCTTCTCGACACATAAAGGTGTGAGTTTGTTTCCGAGCCGTCGGTTGGACTTGACCAAAACCTTGTCACCAACATCGAAGACTCTATTCTGCCGCTTTGCGTTCTCCCTAGCTCTGAGCGTCGTCTGAGCGTTTCTGATCTTTTCTTCTATCTTCTCTTGTGGCTCATCAGAGTGCGCCTGAACCACATCAACTGGTCTCTGGTCGATGACCGAATGGATCGACTTATTGTATTCGGTTGTGGCCAGTAAAATGACTTCTACGGTGTCATTTATGCCTTTGTCGATCTTTAGGCATCTGGCTAGCTCTAACAGAGTGCTGTGAAAGCGCTCAACCTGTCCATTCGATATGCTATGCAATGGTGGTGCATTTGAAATGCTGACCCCATAGTTGTTTGTGAGCATAGTCATGATGGTCTCTGAATTCAATGACGGTTCATTGTCACAGTAAATGGATCTGGCTTTTGGAAAAAAATTCATAAGTTGCATTACGGCTGGCTTCAGATCCACAATGGTTCTTGAAGCGACCGGTTGGACGATAGCAAACTTAGAGAACTTGTCGATGCAAGTGAGAAAGTATTTCTTGTCAGTGGAGAAAATGTCTATGTGTAACATCTCTCCTACATGTGAGGGGATCGGTGTCTCTCCAAGCTCTTGTTTTTTGGGGTGTCTATCATACTTAGCCCTAGCACATGTTTTGCAGTTTTGT